ATGATCGGAACTCAATTCATGATTTAGATCATGATCGAATCCTTCGTTTCAAGATGGTGAGTAAATTATCTACTAGTATGTTGCAATATTCATTACCACTTATAAACGCGAACACCAAGTAGGAGAATTAGGATGTTTTCCCATTTGTCTTCATCGACTGATTTACTGATCTCACATTCAAACAAAATCTATATTTATTTTTTGATAGTATTAGTTCTCATGCTTACCGGAAAACTGTCACCCGTTCGACATACTTATTTCACAGCGACATAATAATTAGTCGGATGGTTGCGTACACATTTTCAAATCGATTAATTCTGTTCTCATACGATATGACATTTTAATGACCTCTTTGTTGTTAATTATAGTCACCCAAGAGGAAATATGTGCTCAACCAGTGAGAGAAGGACACGGATCACAGACCATACCAAGCTTCTATTATAACTCAGTTGAAAACAAGTGTCTACCGTTCACGTTCAAAGGACGTGGTGGGAATAAAAACAGATTTGGAAGCATAGAAAAATGTCAAAATGTGTGTATGTAAAGTGACAACAACGAAAATACACTGTCTTCAAGACGAGAGACAGAAATGATCAACGTCGACAAGTACTAGCGTTTGAATCGAACTTTTTACTAAATTCATTACATTCCAAGTTATCTTGTAAACCTTATTCACATGTAAATTATATTGTATTTTCAATAGAAAAAATGATTGATTTCCTAGTTTTAAACTTGGGTGATGAATAAAGTACAGTCACATGGGTTTTTCAATTAGAAAAGGAACACTGTTAATACACCAGACGATACTTGTTTGTCGATATTTTCAATTAGAGTGTTTTTACACATTTGAAAACATCAATCAATCATTGTTAGACCACCATTAGAAACCTGGAAGCACTGGACGGCCATTTCGTCCTGGTATGAGACTCATCAGCAGTTCGCATTTGTCGATTCATCGGGAAGACAAATTAAGTAGTAATTCTCAGTTTTCCGTATTCAACGTCAATATAATCCGAGTTCTACAAACTCTTAAATAATTTGATAAACCGAATTCGGAGACCTATGTTGTGTCGAAAGTTTTACATCTGTATAGACAGATTAGACAACAAGTCTCTTTTCAACTACGTACAAACATATAGGTTTGGAAAAATTTAATTGTCGACTAATAAATAATGAGGTGTACAGAACACGTGTAAACGTGGCTTAGAATTCAAGTTTTGAAAGCCTTTTCAAAATGTTAGGAATGTGTTGCTGAAAATAAATTCACTTTCTCTTTAAGTGTATTTTGGGTGAGATTGATCTAAAAGATAGTGGAAAAGTTGTGCGGATGTAGTTTGTGTACTGATTAGTTAGCCTGGACTTGCTATCAAGTGTCAACGACTGGCTTATTAGAGACACGATAAATGTCAGATAAAAACCAAGAGTGACATTAAATAGTTATCGATACAATATAGTTTCCCACTCGCCATCGCTGGATAGCCACATTTGAGCACAACTAAGAAAGCAGACGGTTTCTCATTATGCCATTTCAATTTTTAAATGAACAGTAAATTCCTGACCACAGGTCAACAGAATTAAACATCCATAACAGGTTGTTGTTGCTGGTGTCTAGCCAACGGTTCTTGAGTATCTTGCTTAGACAGTTATTTAGGAATACCTGTATCTTATCGCTGATGATTGCTATAGCTCTTCATGTTTCACCTCCAACTTGACAGTTCGATATTAGAATGTATATATAAGATGTACTAGAAGCCTGAGTGGTATAGAAAGAAACGATGTGTGTGCTGAACTTATTGGTGCTTTATTATAATCAACTACGAAGTAAAATTGAGAAATGGGATGAAGTATTTTTGGTTACCAGTACAGATAAAGGTTAAGCAAGAGAATACAAAAGTCAGGTTGAAATGCTATGATTGTGATGCCTCCCGAAAATTCAAAACATCCGGAAGAGTATTCTTTGTTGATGAGTTTCAATACATTCGTTGCATCGAAATTCATTGGCATTTCAGAAACTCATATGTAATTCTAATGATTCAGGTGATAGCCTCGGTTAAAATGACCAATCATACGATTTCACTGCTGAAATTATTCCACTATATGCAGTGTTTAGTTCTGTCGCCAACATACCAAATTCTGACAAACGATTTACTCAGTATTATCTACTTCAATTACACCCCAATTTGTTATTTGAAGCGGTCATTTACATAGGCATTAGAATGCATTCGCGCTGTAACCTGGCAAACTGATGAAACGCGAAATCGACTTTTAATGGTAACTCAATATTTACGAATACGATGTTTCATTCGGCGACCTCTGATGTGAATCTAATTCACTCTTAAAGTGAAGAAAGAAGTTACATAAGATGTTGAATATATTCGTATTGCCATTGACTGATTGTTCAGTCAGTAAAATCCTGCTTATACATTTGTATACAAGGCGTTGCAATCGACTCATTGGATACATGCAGTCCGTGTTTAAAAAACGACATTATTGTCAAAACAAATTACGTTTCAACAGGAAAAGTGTCTACCGTTTACTTACAAAGGATGTGTTGATGAGATCAATAGATTTCATACCACGTTAAGAAGTGAAAGTAAGGAGTGAAATAATTCAAACTGAAAAATAACATTTAAAAAAATGCACCGTCCGGTCGAAAAAATAAATAAATCAACTCATAAAATTATTTATGCATTAAAACAATCATAGAAAAACCTGCTTGTTTTTCATAGTTGAATTCCCTTACTGATCTAAGAGTGTTATGTAACTGGTCTGTTGGTAAGCTAGAATGATGCACGTAGGTTTGACTTAGTAACTGATGTCATATGCATAGCCCCGAACTATACCACTAGAAAGTTGATTATTCCGTGTAGACGTTAGATCTATCATTTCGAAAACCGCATGACTTTGTCGGTATCTTACTTTATTAATGTATACATGTCCTTCGAACATTACTTGATAACGTCAAGCGTATGTTTACACAATGGATGACTATTACGATGTGTGTATTGCGAATAACGCTTTCATTTTTCGATAAACATTTTTGTTGCTTCTTATGTATGACAATATTAGTACTTTTATGACCAATATTTAGCGAATATTTATTCACGGTTCATGCCTTCTCATTTCATGTACTCTAACAACTAAAGCTTAACTCATTTGTATTGGTTCTTCAAATGACCCTATTGATGTTTAGGACTGCAACTGATCAGTCTTCATCCGATCATCTCATCAATCCAGCTAATCAATGATAATCCTGAAAATTAATGCTTCAATTAGTAGATATATTCCTATTACACTAACTCACATTAATCGAGCGTACTATCATCAAAGTTGATCATTAATAAACGTGTTAGGAGAGTATTTATCCACAATGTATGTATCCACTCAATCGAAATCTATACTCCTATTGAAAGAGCAAGCAAATAGAAGTTGACATTGAAACAAAGCTTGCGTTCAATGACTTCGATATAAAATTGAACACAGTTACCAACTTATAACATTAAGAATAACAATAATATTAACGACAACAAATGTTTTTTTGTTTGTGAATGCTATTTAGTAGAGATTACACTGAGTAGTTGGTTGTTTAATTCAAGGAAAAAAAATAATAAAACTACTAAAAATCCATTTCGAATTTAAATTTGTTCAATAGTTTACACACACTAATTTGCAGATCAAAGAAGCGTAAATACGTTTCGCTACACCTCAACTCTTGTCATCAACATGTATTCTTGTACAAGAGAGAGAAGTAGTCTCCACTCATATCTCTTAGTCTTGTACACGAAAATTGATCTTGAATCGGTGCATTGATTACTATCGACGCCTTTAAGTTTTCCTACCTAATACAGTGTATGAATAACTAAAAGACTACCTACTGATTACCTGTTTGTCAATCAATGAATATAATATAAAACACTAAACACATATAACATGTTTCATTCACTTACTTTTCGAGTATAATGAGGTCGAGTATAATTACTTATTTTTCAACTTTAGTGAAATATAGGTCAGTAATTAAAAACCACTGTAAGTTCAAATGCTGGTCGAGTTAAAAACGACTCGACTACCCTTACATTCAATGAAACTTTTAGATACAAACACTAAACTGTTTCAAGCCATCCACGATTTCTTTCGGTAGTCAGAAAAGTTTGATTGTTCTCCAATCTGCTTTCGATCGTCCAGTTACAATGCCCTGCGGTGGTTACTTCAAAGTAAGATGTTGGTCACTGGTTCAAACGTTGTTTTTTGATGAAATGCCTTTAATAATCATCTTTTAGAAAAGCTAAATTATAAATGTGGAGTGAAGGGAAATTCAGTTCACAATATCTAACCTCACTGATCTCTCAATCACATTCATCGAATAGATTGCTCGATCAGTTTATCTTGAAAGATAATGATAATTTAAGCACTCAAATACAGTATGTTATCTTGTTTTGTTTCATTATATGAGAAACAGTTGAGAATGAACAAATATACTGTTATCTTAGTCACTCAGACAATTGTTTTGGTATCGGTCACGGAATAGCGTGTATTCTTTGTGTATTCACACGGAAATTCATCCAATAATTAGAACTAACAATCAAACGTAGTTCTCACGACTTATTCTAACAATTAACATCAATCTAATCTTAACCTGAAATCTAACAATTAATAATGAGTTGTAGAGAAATCTTTTTCGGTGATTTATTCTTCATTCTGATAGACTGAAAGTCATACTGCAAACTAACAAACCATTATGAATAAAAAAAATAAACAGAATTGATCAAAAATCAATGGACAGGACTAATATACTTGTTATTGAGTTAATTCACATTATTCAACTACAGGGAGTGGACTAAAAGTCTTGTTAACTTTCAAAACATATAAAAACCCCTATATTAGCAAGATCACATTCAATAACTAAAGAGTTAGTCATTGGTGGGTTTAAAGTTTGGCAAGTATATATTATCTTACGAGAGATGTTTTTCGGCTGAATAGGAAAATATAATCAACTGAAATAGATGGACAAAAAGATATATCTTCTTATTTTTCTGGTAATCATTTTCGAAAATGTGCTTTCAAAAAGTAATCCAAGTAAGTGAATTTATTGAACTGTTATTGCTGCCTTCATTAATAATGATTTATAATTGAACGATATTTTGTTGAATATTGTTCACTACAGTTACAATTTTATGAACGTGGTCAAGTGGAAACTACTAACATATGTCCTTCATAGTTAGTTAATAACTTGAGCGCTAGGCTACAAGTGTAGGAGTATTGTAACTGATAGACCAAGTATGAGCTTATAAATTAAGTAGTGAGATGAAATCATCAAGTGAAACCTATAAGTAACAATTTAAATCATAGATTGATAATTCATTTTCACTTACAAAACGTCAAACATAACCATATAACCATTCAAGAGAAAAATCTTTCTGAAAAATTTTTACTTACACGGCATAGCTATTTTCATGTATACAGCACTAATCATCTCGAAAACGTTTTTCCTTCAACTGAGTAAGCAAGATTAGAACAGAGAAAAAACCTGGATTCATTTGTATTTTCAAGTGCTTATAGGCCTTTGACATTATGTTGTCTTTGAAATGCATTCTATTTCATAGTAGCTTATCATAATAGCTCTATTGCAGAGAGAATTTTGAGTAACATAAAGAAACTCATTCAAACTCTTAGAATAGTGATAAGCTCAATGAAACCCAGTGATTGAGTTCTTAGTATCACACTATATTACTGAAGTTATCTCACAACTTGTTTATCACTCACTACTGGACTTCAATGTGGACGAATAATCGAGTGTGCGATGAAATAAATCTTCCTTTCCACTTACGTATATTATACTTAGGCTAATCCCGTTTTTGCGACCTCAATAGTAAGAACCCAAATACGGTGTTGCGAATGAATTTACTTCATGCAATCATTTATGCAGACAAACATGTGAAGGGAAGCGTACAAGCAAAACGAAGCGAATTGGTGAAGGCGAATGAGCCAATTCTCCATGAGCTGAAGTGTGAAGAAGTATTTATAGTCAAGCAATAATAGGCTAGACATGCAATAATCGAAAAAGCATCCACACACAACCGGAATATACAATAATCGATACAGCAATTCAATTATTACAAATACAAAATTATGGTTGATGCATTTATCGAATAACTCAAACGAAAGTACAATGAACGAATGATGAGATCCCACACTTGTTTCAGACTAAACCACTGTTTTATTGGGTGACCACATTGGTTTCTCTTATGGTATGAATAATGTACTTGTTGAACAGTTTAGTATTTCAAACAAATCATCAAGTGTTCTACAGAATTTTTGAAACCATGAATTGATCAATGTTAGACCATCATTAGAAACCTGGAAGCACTGGACGGACGTTTTGTCCTGGCATGGGACTCCTCAACAGTGAGCATCCACGACTCCTACACCTCGTAGGATTCGAACCCAGGACCTTCGGTATTGTGCGCGAACGCCTAACCATAGGACCACTGGGCCGGCATCCAACGGTGTTAATGTCTAACTTGATCAATTCACTGAGGAGTCCCATACCAGGACGAAACGGCCGTCCAGTGCTTCCAAGTTTCTAATGGTGGTCTAACATTGATCAATTCATGGTTTCAAAAATGTGTAACTTAACAATCTTCACAACTCCGTAATTCTACAGAATTCTCTCTTATTTATTGTCACTTCAGAAACCCCGGATGAAATATGCTCCCTACCATTGAAAAGAGGATATTGTCTACAAAATCAACCACGTTTCTATTATAGTCCAGCTGAAAACAAATGTCTGTCGTTTACCTACAAAGGATGTGGCGGAAACGATAACAGATTTAAAACTAAAGATGCCTGTGAACGTATGTGTGTGAAGAAAACAACAATGAAATCTGTTAGTAGTCAGCCAAGCACAACGCCATCGCGACAGAGACTCAATGAGACAACTACAAGAATCATTACCATAACAAAACCAACTACACCAAAAAAATAGAAACGTTAAGAATGCCTCTTTTCACAACGTTGTATCTCATAGAAATAATAAATTTTTTTTTAAGTATTAAACATTAGATGTGACTTCACCACAACTATGTAAGAACCCTGTCTTCATTAAAGTGTGTCTTTCATTTTCTCGATAAAAAATTCGTGAATTCGCATTCTCATAGGCAGAATAAACTCAATTGGAATTATTCATTTTGTGTGTCCCATTGTCCGAACGAACATTTTCAAATCGTCCAACGAGTTTTGTTGACTTACGTTGAAATCCTATCTATACTCTATCCAAGTTTTCAGAAACTGAAAATTTCAACATTCTCTATTGTATTCTGATCATCAGCTAACCATTCTTAAGAATATGTAATTTATAGTATAGTCATTTACAATGGAATGTAAAGTTACCTGAAAGTCTGCTCCTTTTGTCTTTCGATATACTCTCTATCCACTCTAATACGCAGAGCAACTAAATGAGTGACCGAGTTCATACTACCACTAAATTAGATACTCAAAAGGCACATTAGACAGAGACTAGATCACGTTAGACTAGATACATGATTTACGAACAACATAAAGAACCAGAGTAAGCAATAGACTATATTTGATTCCATACAACAACGAGCAGTCACACTTAGTGAGTTCGGAATAGAAATCGATAAGAGAAAAAGGAAATCACACATTTTATAGTCGATAAGTCGTGCCTGTTTGTTTGCACTTAATGACCGGCCTCATCATCCCTTCACTATCACAAAGAGAAATTTTTTATCAACATATTCATTTTTGTACAGAGCAAATACAGAAATCACTCTTGACATTTAAGAAATACAGCAACGTAATCAAGTTGTTTATTAGAAATGCATTTATAGAGTTAGAAGCTACTGGCGTAATGAAGAATAATCATTATAATACGATATTCCCAATCAATAATGAGGATGATCTATTTTAGTTGGGTAGCTGGTTCGTCTTCAGAGGTGAAACAGAATTGTTATCAAGTTAATTGATATAGGGAACCCTCCTACTATAAATTCAGGGAAATGTAATTCCAAGCATCTCTTTTTGATGGACTTTTCATCATAATGAGCTTTTCATAATGCTCGGTTTAAAACACGTATAAAAGATGTACTGACACTCTTTGTGGGGCACGAAGTGAAATCTAATAGACAATATGTAGTCAACAAATAAGAGTGATGAAAATCCTATTGTGAAAGATTATTTTGAAAAAACTTCATCAGAATTTCTCACATGCTTCACTACACTTATTGTCACTTATGATATTAAACCAATGTACCAATAAAGGAATTTGATCATTTTATGAATGCACATTGATACATGTTGGTAGAAAACTGGATTTGTGAAGTTCCCCAGCGTGTAATAATTTGGTTCGTCAAAGAATAAACAGTAACTGACGAGAAAGCAATTCAAATATTTGGTACATATAAATAAATCTATTCATTCCGGTTTAGGCAGAATAGTTCGATAAGAAACATTAATCACTGTATACACTTATTTATAAAAATGGATTATAAATATGAATGACACCTGAAGTGAAGATAACCAATTACACACTATTCAAACGCTAAACTCTTAACAGTATATCCAAAGATTTGTGTTTATCTTACAAAATATTGGTCATAATCTTCAGAAATAACAAGGATCACTAAAAGTACATTCATTGATCAATTAGTAAAATAAGACATCTGAAAAAATATGGAATAAAACTCATTTGAATTTCCTTAAAAATCGACTCAAACATCGACATAGTTGATATTTATTTGAATGCAGGATTCGGAGTCCTCCTCAAAATCGATTGCCCTATGCTAGAGAAAATTGGTTTCAAAAAATTTGTCTGAAATTTTCAGCACTCCGGTTAGTGCCGCTTTCCCTTGGAAATGTCTGAATCCAAGACCATGTTAGAAATATAGCACTCTAAGAATACGAGCCATAAACTGACTCTTTTCAGTCTGCCTACCCTTCAAACGATAATACCCGATAGTCATTTGCGTTAGAGAGTGACGAATAAGTTTTAGTATCAATGTTTAAAAAGTAGTTTAAACCATCAGTGAGGGACAGTAACCAATCGAAGACTACTCCTGACAACCTCTTAGGATCGTTACAGCACGCAAAACCTCTGTTTGTTTTCAGGTCTTTCATGAGCTTTTCATATGATTCATCCCTTACTGGAGTCAAATCCTACATTCAGAATCCCTAAGCTTGTTGAAAGCCGAGTTAACCGCAATCGTTTTCGATAACTTCGATAACAAGCTCAATATATGTATGTTCAATTGTATTGTGTATTGAGTCACGGAATCAACTAACAGAGAATTATTTCTCACTTGATAGATAATGAGTATCATTTTAAAAAAGATGAAGCCTTTTCCGATTTGTATCTACCGCCAAATTATTCCAAAGGAACTAGTTTAGGACTTCTGTACAAAACTGAAGTCGTCTAGATTATCTCCAGAAGACCTTGCTTATGCATCTGTCATATCAGAACAGAGATTCAAGGAATGTGAACTTCCAGAACTTACTCATGGATTATATAATTTTAGATTTTAACTGTTTAATTACTGGGTAACTAGATTATCAAGAAATTGATGCTCCGTTTATTATAAGCTATTGTTTGACTCATTAACAAATGTTGTATGTTTCACTATTACTAATTTGTTGTCAGTTTCGTCTCCGACTCACAGCCACTTTTTGTTATGCTCGTCACTTGATAAGCTTGAAACGATTACGGGTTCACCTTAGTCGATAAACGAGAACGAGACAATGAGCCAGTGACATGTTAGGCTACTCTGATCCGTTGACCAAAAAGAACTAACGAAAAAGTCTTGATATGGCGTAGAAAGTGTATTCTACAAACACCCAGCAAGCACAATACAATCAAGCACACAAATTGCGTTTATTTATACATCATAGTAACGTCCCCGGGAGAGTCACAAAAATAGCACACTAAAATAACACAGCAACTAATCACAGCCAAGGATTTTCCTGGTGGGAAATGTGATCTTATGGTCAACGGATCAGCTCATGAATAAAATCCAAAATTAAGGCCTTTATCAAGTGAGTTCTAGGGATCTAACGTCCCCAACACTTTTGAGTAATTGATATTTTTTATTTTATAGTGTTGAGTGGTTTAAGCTCTATTTACACTCGATATATATATATATATAGCGAGAGAGAGAGAGAAGGTAGTCGCTGACTTCTGAACCGAAGGACAAGGCAGACAGAATCTAGAGAATCGTAAACTGATGGGAACTTAGTTGCTGATTGAGGTTTAGTAGTACTGTTGGGACATGTAACTGGTCAACTAAGGAACATAAAAGCATCCGACGAAAGCATGATCAAACTCCAAGTTTACTTGGTTTAAAGAGTAGATCACCATAGACCAGAACGGGCTATTAAAAATTCCCAGTTCTTTGTGTATTTATTCCCTTAATAATTACCTCTCTTCAGATGTCACAATATTATTATTATTATTATGTCCATGACTTCTCCTACTATGCCTTATATTCACACTGTTTAAGTTATTCCAATTATATTGATTACAACTCGAAACTTTAAAATGAACTATTTTGACCTTTAGTAAATGACCGTTTCTATTTACAAATAACATGTATTTATAATGTTTGAACGGAAGTCTTGACATTATCAATTGATTGTCGCTGAAATTAACTACAATTTTTTAACAATCAGTCAAATATCGAAGAATAAATTTTGAATGATAATGCATAGTTGAAAAAAAAATTGGCTAAAATCGTCATGCTCACTGAATTGTTATTTAATTAATACAAACATGTGGATTACAAAAATATCTGGGCATTATTTTATAATGTTTTGTGTGTTATATTCATATTTTTTTTGAAACCATGAATCGATCAATGTTAGACAACCATTAGAAACCTGAAACCACTGGACGGCCGTTTTGTCCTGGTATGGGACTCCTTAGCAGTGCGCATCCACGACTCCTGCACCCCGCAGGATTCGAACCTAGGAACTCCGGTATTGTGCGCGAACGCTAACCATCGGACCACTGAGCCGGTATCTAACGGTGTCAATGTCTAACTTGATCAATTCATATACTCACTGTAACTTGATAAACCTGATGCATCTTATTAGATGTGCTTAAAAATTGAATAAAATCAATCATTTTCTGAGCCGATGAAACTTCGAGAATAAGTCTTACTGATGATCACATCAAAATGCTTGCTATTCATTTCCAAGGTGGTTGATTGATTTTGACTTCATCTCATTTACGTTATCTGTTTCTTTGCTCATTAGAAATTTTTTGAAAAGTATTTACGCTCACGTCAAATAAAAGTCTGTGTTGTATGATTACTATCTTCTTATCTCTGTGCATCCGATAGATCTCATGTATGTACTGCTGTAATGAATGAAGAAATCAAACCAGGTGGAGTAGTCATATATTTTCAGAAGACAGTTCGCGAACAAAATATGTGCACCCAATCTTCAGACTTCCGTTTGCGAAACCAGTAGATTATATACAGTCTTCTTTCACACGTCTTCCAGTCATTAAAACACTTTGATCGCACCATGCACTACAATACGACAGTCTTCCTTCCGGTAATAACTTCTGAGCAACACTCCATTGCATACTACTTAGAACTCACATTTTGGGTATTATCCACTACACTAACACTTACTTACACCAGTTGTAATAATTGACTGAATATTTGTTTGACTATTCCAGCTTCTCATTTGTTGCTACTCTGATATGACTTAGTTTTTGACTTTCCCTCACTCATAATAGCTGGTTCGTTTTTAATTCTATAATTTCGTCTGTTTCGCAGAATGCCGTTGCAGAAAGCTTGAATTTTCCTCCTGAACGTCAGCTAGAGACTTTCTTCCTGGCAGAGCGGGACTAATAGAAGGCAGTTAGACCTTTTTTCTAGAGCTGCATCGGTGTTCCTCTTCCTTCCCGCATTTCCAGCTCCGTATTTTATATATATATATATATATATATATATATATATATATATA